ACTCAGTCTTTGGGCTCAGACCCCAGAGATTCAGTTTTTAATCCCTGTTTAAGTCCTTTTTGGACAGATTTCCCCCATCACTGACACCAATCAAAGACTAGGTTTTGGATCCCTTGTTCTCTACCTGTTTTCACATGCCTACGTCCACTGTCTGTGCGTGCTCCCGATGGCTATGTTCAGTTGCCAGCGTACCTCCTCTCCTGCTGTTTGACTGCCATGACCTAAACCCCCATGAGCTGACGTCTGCAGCTTTGTGTCACTCCCTTCGCTAGCCCATGCTGGGGGAGAAGCTTGTATTGGGCACTTCCGAAATTCTGTTCTGGATTATTTTGTATGGTTAAGGCTTTTTCTGCAGCCAGGATTTTTTTTTCTTTAATTGCAAAATGAAAGACTGTAACAGAACTATTTTTCCTCCTTTTTATGCCAGTGCAATTTTTCTTGTTCTACGGAGATTGAACAATGTTTCAACTCACAAGCCACCAAGTACCCCCTCTCAGCAGCACTACATTCAGAATTATCTACTTGCATAATCCTCTGTAAAAGCTGCTGCTGCTTCTAATGAATAGCTGCAAAGACCAAATCATGTTCTATAAATCATGTCCACAGCCACTTGGAGTGGCTTTTTTTCTTTTGCTGATACTGAATGTCAAAGCCCACTTGTGAATTTATAAACAGATCCCTTGCCAATTCATCCTGGAAGACCTCACTGTGCCAGGAACACACATTTCCTCTGCTTCTCTGCCCTCCCAAATAGGGCATCTCCCTTCCCTTCACTTCAAGCTTTTGACTCTTCCCAGGCCAGCTTAGGTTAGCGGCTGGTGCCAAACTGTATACCAAGGACTTGTACAAAGTCTAGATAATTCAGCTTTTTTTTTTTCTTTTCAATCTGGCAGTAAGTCTTGCAGCAGCCTCAACGCTGGGCTACTCGGGTTCATGCTTACAGTAAACCCACCTGTGTTCATCCTTCCCAGTCAGCCTTTTAGACCATAATGTCGAGCTAAGCTGAAAAACCTTTGAGGAGTCTTCCCTTCCCAGTGCAATTTTGCATTATTTGAGAAAATAAAACCTCCCTTAATCGCACTTCTCAGAGTTACTGATGGGTACAGAGAAGTGCTACAAATGTCTTGGTTTAGCCAAATTCTTTAGCTGGCCCAGCTCCCACATCAAGAAGGCTGACTTTCACTGTCCTCTGGTGATCCTTCTGTCACCTTAGTCAGGCAATTTTTCAGCCTCCAAAAAGCAATTGCAGGATCAGGAATTAATTTGCTGCATCATCATCTTCTGCATCATCAAGCACTATATAACTGGAGGAATATAAGAAAATACATCGGTCCTTTTTTAGGCTACATTTTTAGGCTTTTTCAGGTTACATCAATCTATTTTTAGACTAAATAACTAACCTTTTTACTCACCTTCTGCTGGTTAGTCCTGACAGCAGGAGGATTGTTGAAAGAGATGTATGTCGTCTATGTTGGGAAGTGAGTGTACAGGGCAGCCTCTCATCATCCGTTCCAGCTGCCAGTGCTCTTTGTGCCCAAGTTGTGCATGGGGAAAGGGCATAATGGAAAAAGCGTATCTGGCCGTAGCAAAGGGAGGAGAGGACCAGCAACCACCACATTTCCTTCCACGTAAAGTTAAAGTCAAAAATGTAGCAGATGGGTGAGTTTAAATGTGTGCTACCATTCACTTGTCAAGAAGGTCCACAGTTCTTCATAAGAAATGGTAGTTCCTGTAATGCAGCACGATCTGAGGTGAGATGATTGAGTTTTGGTTCAAAGTTTGAGTTTGGTTTTTGGAAAGATAAAACCCCCCCCCACTCTAAAGAGGTCAGTGATGCAGCTTTGTTATATGGTGTAAAATGTCTGAGCAGATGAAATGATGGCATGTTAAATGGTAATTTAACATAGAAAAAGCCATAGTGAGAAGCAGGGACTAGACATGAAAGCCAGGCAAATCCACATGAGCAGCTCTGCACACATGGTTCAGTGGGGGCCCTTAATCATTGGAGCAATCCCCGGAGGGCAGAGGTGGATTGGTTTGTATCTTGTCATCTCTTCACATGAAGGGATGGAGCTTGGGGCGGGGGTAGGGGGCAGTTATGTGTTAGGCAAACACAACATAAGCTTTAGTCAAATGTAAGCTATTTAACTCAGAAAGGAGGTAAAAGTGGATTAAATTTAATATCCAAGACATTAGAGCAGATGTTAAAGTCCCTCTGGGCTTCAGCCTCTCTGTTCATATATAGTCAAGGATTTTCTGGGTTAGAGCCAGTTTTTCCAGTGGAGCACCTTGCTTGAAAATCTTTTGGGTCTTTTACTCCTTTGGGACACAACCCAAACACTGCTTATCTGAACTTGTCCACTTTGCTCTTTTCTTTTTGGGAACCTGGCAGGGAACATCTGACCCTGTAAAAGCATTGCGGGGTGTTGGGGCTCTCCCCGTTCCTGTCACAAATAGCCTATTACATACCACCAAAAAAAAAAAAAAATCAGTGCAAAGGGAGACGAGCACTTTATAATTAAGACCACTTAAATAGTTTTCCTGGCTCCATTTTACAAAATCTGAGTCACCCTGGCTCAAATTGGGAGGAATCAGTGTTCAAACCTGCAGAGATATTATCTGCTTTTGAAATACTTAGGAAAACTCTCAGCCTTATTTGGAAAAGTGAAATCTGCCGTGATAGCCAAGGCCTTGATTTACTGGGAGGAGAGAAGGGTCCTAAACACCTTCGCCCTCCAGATTAACTCCTGCTCTGTCTGTGTGGCACCCTGTGGGGCTGCTGGCACCTCAGACATCTCATACTTGTTCCCAGACTACCCCACGCGTCCCAGGCAACCTCCCCAAGGGCTAAAGCCCTCTTTCCCCTATTAATGCAAGACCATGTAACACATGGTCCTACATCAGTGACATAGGCATGGAGGCACAGCCCTTCTCCCACGCCTCCCCTCCAGGACCAGGGCCACAGCGCTGGGTTCAGGCTGTGGGAGGGAGAGAGGGAAGACAGATATTTCCCTTACCTGCCATAGAGTATCACTACCCTATAGCCAGCATGAGGTGCCAGCAGGATTATGGTGCTGGGTTCATGGGGCAGAATAGACCCCGTGGCGCTGTGCTGACAGCAGGAAAGCCACCCTGGGCGGCCGGGGCTGGGAGATGGGAGCTGGCTGTGCTCACAAGAGCCGGCGGGGTGTGTGTAATGGTTCTGCATCCAGAAGACCGGCAACATATCACTTACGTTTACATAGTCACCAGTAACAGAAGACCTGGCAGCTCCTCAAAGATGAGCAGAGGTTTGGAAGTCAAAGATATTTTTCATTCCCGAGCATTTCCCTCATACCCACTGGGTGCCTTTGATTGTATTCTGCAAGCAGAATAAGGCAACCAGAAGTGTGTAAAAATGGTGGAAAAAACCCACCCTCCTCAATTTGACACAAATTTTTTACCATTTGCTAGAGGACGGCTACACCCCCCCTCAAAATGTGAGTTTCCTTCATTATAGAAATACTTTATTTTTTTTTCCTTTAAAAGCCAATGGAATGTGGACATGAAAAATTTCACATTTAGAAGCCAACTTTTCATCAGGGTTTATCCTTTTGATTTGGAAACTGGCTCATTTAAGCTGGAAAATTCTGTGAAATGTTGCAATAAAAGAGGCTTTATTTTTGCATTAGCTAAAATATGCACACACAGAAACTCAAGTGATACAAAAGCAAGCGAAGAAGTGCCCAGCCCCTAAGCTCCGAGTTGCTTAAAATTCCTTGTTTCAAGTACAAATGCTACATAGACCCTTGCCATCTCTAATAATAATGCAAGCTGCCACCCAACAACAGCATAATATTTCCACTAGGCAGTGTATTTTTCCCTGTGAAACACAACTTAGCGAATGTGGCTTCAGCTGCCTAAATGTCATCTCAGGCTGTTGCAATCTGCTGTAAACTTTCAAGATACTAGTCATATGTCATAGACTCACAACAGTTTCTGGATTTGCTTTAGGACTGAAATGTTCCTGGGCAAAACCAATTCACTAAGGAAGAAATCCTATCCTGTTTTTTTTCCTCATTCCCTAAAAGTAGCTTCTCACTGATTTTTTCCCCCCTTTCTTGCCTACTTCTGTGCATGCCATTTTACTTTACAAATCAGTTCCATCCCAGTTCCAGCGATCAGAAATGGCAGTATCTTGCTTTTCTGTATTGCAAAGTAGTCAGTAATTGCACATACTGTTTGAGAAAAAAAAGGAGAATCCAAATCCAGGATAGGCTTCTGGCCAAAGCAGCTCAGATTTTCCATCTCATCTGCAACTGAGACATGACAAGCGCAGGTTAGGACCGGGCAGCAGCCTCCAACAGCAGCAGCCCTATTTCTGGCAATCTTCTCTCCAAAGTTGGTGCGTGTGACTCAAGTTATGGGCGTTTAGACCAAATACAGTAAAACTAGGTACGAGGAAGATACATTCAGACGCTGAATCAAAGTTTGAGGGAAGGGTAGGTTTTTTACGTTCATATGAGGCCCACATATACGTGCTGGCAGATATTTATAGAGCGTGACTGTATGAACTCTGATCTACAGTCAAGAAGTGGGATAAGTTACATGAATTCAGTGCTGCTAGTTCAACATAATTTCCTTTCAACACCATGACCAAATTGCCTTGATTTTCACACCTGTAAAATGGGGATAATACTTATCCCTTTTACAGGGGATAGCGTTATAAACATTAGTTAAATTATTTGGAGAAGCACTGACTTCATACTGTAAAATAACTTTATCTGTACTAGCTGGTATTACACAGGAGGAGCGGAAATCTAAACCAGGAAAGTGAGGGAGAAAGAAAGCATAATTTCCTGTCGGTATGATGTACTCTGCAAGTGCGACTAAGAATATAAAACCAAGGGACCTTGCAAGAAAAGGTTTTTTCAGCCTGCTTTCCCCCCTTTCACCAGGTTGTTCTCATGCAAAGCCACGGTCCTCAGTAAAGGCATTCCTCATTTACCCAGTGTGCGAGGAGAACCCGGTCCTTTCACCTAAAATCAATTTTCCTTAGGTTCCAGAGCAGCTGTGGTGCTATGTGCCAGCGACTCTCTCCTGTCTCGCATGCCTGTGCTGTGCGCAGTTGTCCCCTCTGGTTGCAGAATAAATTAGAGGAGCCACCACGGTACAGCTGAGAAAGCAATGGAAAATCCAGCCAGCCAGGAAGCTTTTTCTTCTCGATTTCTGTGAAGTTCTCCACGTTTGGCAAGCTTTGTAAACTCAGTAGTGGGAACTGAAAAGGAAAAACCATCACATACAATTTTTCTGGGGCTTGCAAAAGTAAAATAAATCAAGAGATAAAACAGCAAGGCATCTGCGATACAAGATTTGGTTCGTGAATGTTCAAAGCATTTAATCTCTGTCCCTCCGGCTTCCAATTCTGTTTGCTGGGACTTTATTATTTTACCTATTTTGTAAGGTATAATCATTTATATCTCAAGAATTTTCTGGCCATGTTCCATATTCCCCTTTGCATGACTTGGATAATCTCCATAATGCTGTCCATCTGTCCCTCTTTTCTGCCTTCTGATTTATCATCTGAAAATTTTCCACGTGACACCAGTGAAGTCCCCGTTGTCACCAGTGGGGCCAGCCGTGCCGCCTCCTCATTTCCACCCCTTTGCTGCCTCGTCAGAGCTAGGCCAGGTGTCTGTGTCTGAGCCACAGTCAGAGTGACTGTGCTCAGGCAGACGGGCACCCCCATATCCCCCCCTCCAAGGGGCAGGCACGAGGGGAGCTTACCATTGCCGCCACAGTCCTGTCCATCCATCCACTGTGCCATAGTACATCCCCTTTTCCATCCCTTCACCCGGAGCGATGACGAGTAGCGTAGCTTAGGTTAGCACGGGAGACCTGGGGAGCCGCCGCAACCCCAGCGTGAAGCTGAGACTTCACCAGCAGCCCCTGGCCCTGGCAGTCTGCACGGAGGAGACAAGCAAGGGGTGAAAGAGAGGTCGGGAAACAGCCCAGTGTGTACCTGCAAATTGGTGGAAGACCTGAAAATAGACCCTGCTGCCTCGCTTTATTCAGTCCCACATGGACTCCTCTGTCTCCAAATTCCAGTTATCCCAGGGGTCGTGCAGGGACCCCTGCCCCCAACAGGTCTCTGTCATGCCCGTTGGTAGATCTTAGCTACGGCTGCTTAATTCTCATTAAATAGACAAGGTTTTTTTAATCTTCTTCCGAAACAAGGAGCTGAAGCCTTACAACAACATCTCCTAGGAACTTTCAGCTCTCCTTTGGGGAGATATTTCTTTCTATTGAAGGGAAAATTTCCCAATAACTCTCTTCTGCTGCCAGGCACCGAGACCAGAGGCAGCACCGTGCCGCTCCCTCATCATTTCCTAAGGGACTCACACATCCCAGGCTGTGTCCTCTACCTTTAGTTTCCCGTTCTCATTCCAGCCTGTCTGCTTGAATTCATTCAAAGGTGTAAGAAAAAAAACCTCTTGGGGACAGTCTGTCCCATGCTGCACCCACCACCGTAAAACCTCGGCTGCCATACTACTGGTTCTTATCAGCTATCACACCTTAAAGTATAGAAGGTGTGTCTAATATTAGCCAGGAAACGTCACGGTGAAGACCTGGACTTTTTCAGCTAATCGGTATTAATAACTTCCTATGTTTGAAGACAGCCCGTAGGAAATGCAGCCTGACTCATCTACCCTGTAATTAGATGAACTCCTCGAAAAAGTGCAGGTGGCTGCACCACAAAGGCACATTAGCCAAGGTGCAGAATATGCTTCTGACCAAAGGGCAGATAATAGCAGCAATAATTTCCTTCCACTGATATAATATAAAAAAGCAATATTTCTGACAGATTTGGCATCTGGCTGAGGCTGGAAACTCAAGCAGTCATTTTTTTTTCTCTCTCTTATCTCACTCAAGGGAAATCTGTAATATGCACAAAGCCTTGATTTATATTTTTTACACTCTCAAATATTACTGGAAAACAATTATGCAGTGAAATTTCATTAAAAACAGAAGATATTCAGGCCTATTTGCTATATAGGTTATACCTAGACTGTGATTCTTACCAAAGATATTTGTTTCCTGTGTTCTTTTTTCCTGCCAAGTTCAGCCATATATCACTTTTATGTATCTGAAGGCCACGGCGTAATGCAATATGAAGCTATGAATGGGATAAAGTTACATATTCTCCATCGATTTTCCATTGTATCCATTATCTTTAATGCTGGAATGCAAGTTAGTGCGAGGGCCGGAAGCCTCCGCACCTCCGCGCTGACTGCTGCCTTATGAAAACCATCCCCCGGGGGCAGATAAAGTCAGCTGCAAGTTGCAGAGAGGAGACAGGAGTCCCCCAGAGTGTCCGGCTTAATGGGGGAAGTGGGTGGCTCGCCGGCCTGTAGGAAAGAGAGAAGGAGAAGGTAGGCTCAGGGAGGGGGACATGAGGGGCTGGGAGGGAACCGGAGAAGGGCTGGAAGTGAAGGCAGGGGAAGGAGAAGAGAGAGGGCGAGGAAGGGGGCATGACAGATCTGCCTCAAGGCTTCTTAGCAGTGGAGAAATGCTTTCTGCATGCTTAACAAAGGACGAAAAGAAAGAGATTTGTGGTCCGTGATGCTGCTGTGATGCTGTTGTTCCCTGCTGCAAAGTCCCCCAGGCACCACCAGCATCGCTTCGCTGCCCAGGAGCGCAGCAGGGCGGCTGCTGAGGGTGCTCAAAAGCCGTTGCTCCCCAATCCTGGGTGTTGTGGAAAGCAGGCTGAGGGCTCACTGCTGTTGCTGCTCAGCCCCGTGGGTCAGGATGAGCAGGGAGGGTGCAGAGCTTGCCACCATGGCAGCTCAAGCCAAAGGCTGAGCATCGGTGCCCACGAGCAAGGGAGATGAGCAGGACGGGAGGATGCAGCTGCATGGAGAAAGCAGGACGCTCGGGAGGCTTGCCGCCCAGATGGGCCCAATTGCGCGGGGACTAGATGTTAACACTAGCTCTCTAACAAGCTTCTCAAATCGCATTTTTTAAGGCCGTGTGTTAACAGAAAACAACTGTTCAAATTTAGCAAGTCCCAGCACCACTTTCACCCTTGTTACGTCTGGGCTGCAGGAGTAAGAAACACCACTGCCACTTAATTTTTCATTCCTCTCGCAAAGGGCTAGAGCGGTTAGTCATGCGAGTGGTCACCTTGGACGATCCCACGCAAGCAATCCCAGCAGGATTTCTCCATGTGTGACTAACTGCTCCTCCTGGGAGGCCGGAGCTTCCCACTGGGAAGGCAAAGGACTCCCCATTTTAGCAGCAGAGTTGTCTGTAATCTTAACTCCACAGTCACCGCTGCTGCCCCTGTAATGTATTTTTAAGATCAAAATTCTTCTGCAGGACAAGTGACCTGTTCGTCTTCGTCTGGCCTTTACTGCTCTGGCTACTCTTGTTGACATCTGTGACTAATTCATGATCTATGAAACCGAGCTGTGACCAATACAAAAAATCTTTATTAAAACCCTGCCAGGTTGATCGGCAGGCATTTCTCGGGAAAGCTGCTCAAGAAGAGCCAGCTCTGAGCAACTCCACAGGACATTTCTGGAACGAACATCTCATCCCAGCTTACCTTGAAGCACATCAGCTCGCAGCTGTGGACAAGCCACCTTGCTTCACCTATAACCCTGGGGACAGAGCTTAGGGACCTTCATGCAAATTTTCCTTCAGTTATTTGTCCTCGTAGAGAAGAGGCTCAAGCCAACACAGAGCAAAACCTTTCCAGCTAGCGCAAGAAAAACCTGGTACCTTGTTTTGCTATTTTAGCAGGGGGAGTGCGTGAGCCAGGCTCCTTCCCGCCTGTCCCCCTCGCTGTATGTGTGTACGTGCATGTGCTGCGCAGCAGGACCCCTTTTCTCATTTAAACAGCCAATTAAAGCCTACTTTGGCACTTAGCACATGACATCAACTTGCAGTACTTAAGCTGCCTAGCACAGTGTGAATTTAATTTGATAAAGGGGCAACTAATAAAGATCTTGGAAGGCTGGTTAAAGTTCATTAAGCCTTTCCTTTCAAGGTACACTTCCCTCCAGTGCAAAAGCTTGCGTCTTTTTTTTTTTCTTTTTTTTTTTTTAAAGCTGTGTTATATCCTGCCACCAGAAAAAGGTGCCTGTGTCACATCCCGACAGGGTATATTTGAAGTCTCACTGTCAAAGTCATGTCAGGCCTTGGTTCTTTGCCCAGAAATGTGCAGAAAGAAAAATAAAAGCCCCTTTCCCTGAGTGCGGGGCGAGGAGTGCAACGCGGGTTGGTGCAGGCAGGCTCCTGAGAGGGGAATTGGGCTTCTGTCACACTGAGCTGCATTCATCCTCCTCTTGAGCCATCCATAATTCCAGATGGCTTTCATAAACAGATGAGGAGGCTCCTCTGAGTTCACTGGTTTAATGAAGCCCGTATGGCTGACTCATGTAATAAGTATTTAATCATGCTGATGAAAATAATTTTACAAACTTCCACCACACACAGTGCTGTTCCCTGTGCAGCTGTGGAGCTGATAACACAACATCACAGCCAAGGAACCTCTGTTTTCCAGAGAGTCTCCAGGTGCCTGCCTTGACTTTCATCAAGGGGTTATAAACGTGCGCACGCATTTGTGCATTGCCACCCTCTAACAAGGACCCGTTCATCTTTGAAAATACTCATCAAATCACCTACGGAAGTGCCACAAAAGGAATTTTTTTTTAAGCTCCACATTCCCCGTGCAGCTGTTTCAGAGGTCACTCAAGGGTTAACACTTCAGTGTTTACATCTTCTCATTAGTTTCTCTTTGTGCTCTCAAATGCCCATGCCTTAAAAATTTGCAGAGCTTAAGCGGTCTCCATTTGTAAACAGAGAAATGCCACAATACCTTGCAAATACTGAGTCGTCTTAGGTGGAAATTGTTCCTCTTGTCAGCAGAAGTCATCGTCAATGCCATGAAGGACATGGGCCTTCATCGTTTCCAGAGCATGGACCTAAATGAACGCATGTAAGTCCATCACGTGGCAACCGGTAGTCCACACAATTTCAGCACATTTTAAGCTAGCTCCAGAAAGTCAGTCCTCCTCCTCTCCTCCAGAGAAAACCCAGAGCTGATGTTCCCTTCAGAGCAGGCTGCATGCAGAGGGTGGGGGTGACCTCCCTGGGGCAAGGCTGGGGGCCTTAGACCTGTTCTCGTGTGCTGTTGTCACCCAAATAGTCCCATGTGGGCTGGAAGACTCAATGTCAAGATTTGAACTCATTCCTTGGGGGACAAGGTCCATAAATCACCACCTTGGAAGGTCGGGAAGGGCTGGAAAAGTCAATGAGGTCTGAGAACGAGAGAGGCCATCTTGCATGGGCTGTCGCACTGAGAAAGTTCCAGGTGCTCTGCCAGGTACTGAGTTTGTTCCCGTGAAAGGCTGAAAGAAGAAACATTAACTCTAGGGCTGGATTCATGTTGTCATGTTTGTCCTTACCTTTACAACTGGCTCAGCACCGTTCAACAGGTCCGGTCACTTCTTCTGAGAGCTCTGGGAAAAGAAAGACGATGAATCCCATACTGTTCTGCACAGGCTCCTGGCCACAGAGCGAGGGAGGTACCCCTGGTTTTATCTACACGGAATTTTGTGGATCAGTCCAAATTTTCACAGGCAGATATTTTTTATCATCAGTTGAATTAGATTTAATTTTAAGTGTTGGGGACAAGGCCACTTGAAGACCTTTGATGTATAAGATTATTTTTTCCAAATGTCTGGAAATGTTGAAAGCTGAAGGTGTGTTTGCAGTATGTTATCAGTTACAAGATTGCTCACATCCTGATGGGGAAAAGGCTTATTTTCTGACATGAGACCAAAGAAAATCTCCACTTTGTGTCAGCTTCCTTTTGTAAGCAATTTATTGTTCAAATCACTGCAATGTAGCACGGTGTTCATGGCTTTAGAAACTGGGTTTATTTTAATTCCCCTCGCTTGATTTTACAATAGACATTTTTTCACTTCTAAACATGCACATATGTTGAAAAGATACCAGTACAGGCTGAACAGGAAGATGACTGTGATCCTGCCTCGTCCACTTACAAACAGTCTGCCCGGTACCCCATGCTTTCTGATTGACTGAGATGCCCTTTGTGCATACTAGGTGCTGCTATAAATAGTTGCTCCTTGGTGGTTAGTGTTTAAGTCTTCAAGATTGGGAAGTCTTCTGGTTAACTTTGAATCACATTGCTGTAGGACCTAGATATACGCAGCTCCAAATAACTGGAGCATTATGGTCTTTAGAGGCTTGATAACGAAATCCAGAGTTCACTTTATCCAAGTGCTTCATCCTCCCGTTCGTGAGCTTATGAATTTTGGAGCTGCAGGATCAGACTCTGCAAGTGCAGGAATTCTGCACCCCTTCTTGTATCTCACTTCAGAGCACCTAATTAAGTTGTCATCATGACTGTTCAGAAGAGCACCTTAAATAGAAAAACACTGGAACACTGGAGAGGTCTCAATTTCCTTGGTTACGACTTCAAACTCCGGAGCTAAAGGACACCAAAAAGAGAGTTTAATGCTTATAAATCTTGCAGTGCGAACTGATTCATGACTCAGACAAAGTGCCCAAGTCCGTACGAGTCAGGAGAACAACCCTTTAAAACACAGTTCGCTACTATTGCTGGAAACCTTAGCCCACTGGCTTCACACTCAGAAGGTTTAAGCTGCAAATGGCAGGAGAGGATTTATGTGTTCCTCCGAACAAAATACGTCAGGGTAGGAAAACTTGACCCGACAGTTCTGAGACATGCCTGCCGTAAATAACCGATTGATTGGCTGACTCGCAAAGCCATTAGCAGGCGTGAGGTGCCTGCTGAGGTTCAGGCACCGCATAAAATGCTGGAGGTGCCAGCAAAATGGACACGGCAATTGGCTGTGCAGTCATCTTCCAGCAGGCAGCTCGGGAGGGCTCGTGAAAAATGGAGCGGCTTTCATCTCGCTCATTTGACACCGTAGCTCTGGAAGGGGACTGTGCGTGGGATCCAGTCTGTCGTGGGCAAAGGGGGAAGAAAAGAGAGATAAAATGACCACCTTGTGCTCGAGCAGTAAATCATCTGGAGGAGTAAAAGTATTTCAAATTAAGTTGGAGATCCTGCCTTGACAGTTGCAGATGATGAGTCTTTCATGCTGTAAATCACCACAGCTGCCAAGTGGC